TAGAAAAACCTATACATATATACATATTTTTTAATTGTTTATATCTAAAGAAATAAAGCCATACTTTGATACATTTTAAAGAGAAATAGAATCCTTTGTTAAGACTTATATGGTTTTCCCTTACAAATTTAATATAATATTATGATCATTATCATAAGCATCTAAAATGCATAGTAAACTTGTAATTAACTTCTTTGATAAAATTGTAGTTTATTTTAATTTGATAAGGTGAACCAATTTAATATTTTTTTTTTAAAGATCTATTCACTTGAAAAAACCTTTTAACTTTTAATAATTGGAGCCAATCTTGAAGAGTCACCAGTCTTCTATCTCTAATTTAGAAAAAGTTAATTTCTACTATGTGTATCATAAACCGAATGTATGTTTATCATGCATTTTTTTTTTCTACAAATATCAAATTAAATAATTTGTTTTAATACATGGTATAAAACAGTCTTACTAAATATTTATTAACATTTAAAACATCTAATACAATTGTTAACTATATTTAATTTTTTTAATTATTGACTAGTATTAAATTAAAATACACATTAATGTATAATGTTATCATAATTCTAAGAGGTTACATAAAAAATCAGTAGCGTTAGACATAAATGGTTGTATAAATATGGTGCAACATAAAACTAAATCTAGATTGTGCATTAAATAAAAGTACATAAATACATAAGCTTTAAGGATCAATTAAGTGTGTTAAAATGTTGCCGTAGAGTTTATTTAGGTACTTCAATATTTATTGCTGTTTATATTATGTTCATCACAAATGTATTAAATAAATAATTGGCCTTATCCTCTAACATTATAAATTGACAGGACTAATAATACATATGAAAGTATTAAATTATGGCACTACAATTTCCGATTTGTATTTTAATTTTGTAAATTTTGCCTAATATATGAACCACAAAGATCTAAATTTATTATTTTGAACTGTAATAAAAAAAACTATAACAAAAATATAAAATTGTAATTACAATAAATATATTAAGGTTGACATATGCAGTATCTTTTTATTAACTTAAAAAATCATAATTGATATTGTAAGGAGAACAACTTAATACTTAAAGATTTTAATTATTATATGAACTAATGATCAATATTAGTTAACTGTTTATTTAATTAATTTTAATGCATATGTTATTTAATATAGTTAAAAAATATAAGCATGTTAAATGTCTATGAAGAGTAACTACAGTTCTCTGTTTTAATAAATACTGTACTAAATCCAATTCAAATTTCGAAAATAAGATTTAAATTCTCGGAGAAGTAATTCTAAGGATCAATTTTACACTTTTAATATTTGTCAAGATAATAATTTAAAAATATAAACAACAATCCATATACAATATGATCATTTCAAAATTGAAACAAAATGTTAGGAAGCAAGGGAGACAATGCAAAATTAGCCGATCAATCTGAAGGAATTTTTTAGACAATTGACTAAATAATTTTTTGTAAAATTAATTGATAAAAAAATGTGTAATTTGACTGAAAATTAAAGTAAAAAAAAATTCTTTTAAAATGATTGAGCCAATTTTTATTATTGATGTTAAAAATTAAGTATCATCATACAGAAATAATTATTTTAATAGATATTGTTATTTCCTTTACACATTTAATTTTGATTAAATAATATTTATTGGGCCTGTAATTTTATCAAGGAAAACTATTGAAATAACTGTAAAAAAATATGTTTATAAGTTTATAATTATTTTATTATTTAAAAAAAAAGTAGTATACTATTGAATAATTTAAAACAATTTAGAATCAACAAATATCAATCCTAACATTCATAAAATAACATAACTATTAATAAGATTTAATAGAATAAAGATTTGGAAGGTAATTTTTTAGTTTCATTATTGCAATGTATTATGTACAATAACACTGATATACTAATAATAAATACAATTATTATAAAAAAAAATTAGTCCTCAAGGTTTGTTTTATATTAAAAACAATTGAAATGTTATGTTAGTTAAATGGTTGATGTATATTTAAAAAGTAGTTAGATAAAATAATTTCAAGTTAAACATTTAAAAATAGTTAAGAGAAATGTGTTGGTGTCTTATGTTATTGTATACTAGAACTATGTAGGTAATAAACGTCAAAATATAACATCAAATATAAAAAAATACTTTTTTCTTATTTTAAAAATGGGTATTGTGCTAATAAAATGATTGTATACGAATAATATTATTAGAAGTTAGAATATGGTAGTAAGTTAAAATGCAACAGCAGCATGTAAAAATAATAAATACTTTTTGGCGGCCTTTATCAATTATGGGGTTAAATTATAAAGTGTAAAATATTTTGAAAGAATTTGAATATTACACAAAATGTATACCATAAAAAATATTGGAAAATTATTTTAACTCAAGTTACATATAACATTTATAAATAGAAACTGAAATTCAAATTATAAATATTCGATATAACTCATAATTTTAATGTAACTATAAAACGATAATATTGTTTTTGTTTTAAATTTTTACATTGAAGTAATAATAGCAGATTGTTATAGCTGGATAAAAATATTTGTAAATTGAATGACTTAATAAATATGCTTTTAAAAATATCCAATTGTGTTTTACAATATTTATTTTTTTGACAAGAATAATTAGATATGTCTAGTTTAGAATAATTGTGTTTTAACAACTGAAACATTTACATTGGTAGAATAATAAATTTAAATTGACTATATACGTGGTAAGCAATAATTACCAACATTTAGTATAGATATATTACCTAAATACAAATTATTATGATTTTATTAAATCCCAAACAACAAAAGCATACATAAAAAACATCTAACTTCAAATTATTTCATTAATCAAATCCGTTAATCAATTAATCATTTAATTTAATCAAATTTGGTTGAAATTACTGAAGAAAATGAAATGATGATTAATTCATAATAATTTAATGGCTCGAGTTTCAATATAAAAGAACAGAGGGGAAACATTGTATATATGGTTATGAAATTGCACTTATAATATTGATTTAATTGTCAAATTTACATTATAAGGAAATATAAGAAGTATTTACTCATAATGATCATCGATCAATGAAACATGATTATTCTTTTATGTTAATTACAGAAACTATAAAGATTTTGAGAGTTATAATGTTTATTTATCTATGGTATGAATATACCCAATCTAAACGATCCATATACAATTATATTTAGGCATTTTTAGTTTGTACTAAACAAATAACAAAGACTTAAAAATATATAATCCACCATTTTGAAAATGTTGTGAATATATGGACTGCTGATCCATTTAATGAAAAACACTAATTATTTCAGAAAATATTTCTTTTACATAATTTTAAGTAGTCGGAAAATAATATTTAAAAAAAAAATAATATTCAGTACTTATTTTTAAACTTTTTATTTTTTTAAAAGATAATATACATTTTTAATTTTTTCTTCTGAAGTAGAATATTATTCGGGTCATACAACATGAATTTTTAGTTTCTAAATCTACGGCAGAATATTTGTTGGAGTACTTCGATCTATAAAAATCAAATTTCGGACAAGTAGTTCATTAGTTATATTTTTAAATACTTATTACCCATAAACAACTAGTCCAAAATTAAATTTGTATACATCTAAGTAGGTACTACAACTGAAAAAGTCTTCTGCTCTAGAGTAAGGAATTAAAAATTCATGTTATCTTTTAAAAAAGTAAAATAACTAAAAATTGTAACAGTTAAAAAATGATTTTTTAAGTTATGTAAAAAAAAAATATTTTAAATAACTATTTGGTTTTTGAATATTGAGTGTCTTAAGTTAAATAGATCATCCGGTATCCTAAAATAAATAGGATACATTTATGCAAAAGGCCGCCATAGAATTGTTTTCTTATACAGTATATATTGAGGTAAAAATTGTTTACACATATTATATTAGTCTGTACATCTAGTTAAGCCCAACAAAAACAATTTATATACAAATACACATATTATTTATAATAACATCAAACACCATTATACCAAAATTATTCACAAATATTTAATAATATAATTTTGTTATACTAAAATAAAGGATTTGTTTGTACGATTGGTAATATATAATCTAAGCATTGAATAAATAAGGTTCAAATTTAACAATAGATTAACAGAACTATTTGTTTTTAAATTTCTCACCTAAGATGTTTTTTTTATGTGAATAGAGTAAATTATAAAGGTTATGGTTAAATAGGTAGAATGGTATTATTATAATAATAATGAATTACATAAAAAATGATTAAGTGAGGTACTTATCCATTAAATGTATAAAATTGCTTAAATTGATAGAAACCTTGTATACAATTCTAATTAATTGCCTTGATAAAACAGTGATGATAGTAATGGCAGTAAAAATATTTTTTTCTGGTTAAAAGATTTTAATGGAAAAATACCTTACACATTTCAAGACAACTTAAATCAATACAAACAAAATTTACAATAACTGAGAGATGATCAACATTTTGAATGATGAAGATATTTATGAAATGTTACTTAGGTATCTTGTGTTAAATTACAGTACTATAATAGTCTTTGATATTAAAATTGTTGGTCTACTTTAAATACAAAAAAGATTGTTAATTTGCAGGTAAATCAGTAATTAAGTAACATACTAAATATATTGCAATTATAAACTCAAAATAGTTTGTTATTTTCAAAAATGTTAAAATAAAAAAAAATTTGATGATAATTAATTTTTGTAATCACCAATAATAATAATTAATTTATGTTAATTTTAATGAACATTTGCTTAGTTTTTTTATTACGAAGATAGTTTTTATTTTAAATTCAGATAAATTAACAGAAGGTTAATTGTGATATAAATTTACTAAGTAATTTAAACATACAATTTCTAAACATTTTGAAGATACTAATAGACTTGTTTTATGTACCATCACAGCAATTGAGTAATTAGTTAAAATACTTAACAGCTACTTTTAAACTACATACGGGTTTATGAATTACTATGATTAAGAAATTAATACTCCATTTTGTTTATTTGGTGAAAGAGCATTTCCATTTGGTAAAGTAAGTGAACTATGACTACCGTTTGCCACATTATTTATACTGGTAATTGAAGTTGATGGTAATACATTAAAACAGCTTCCTCCAGACATGAGTTCCAAAGCCCGATATAATAATAAATAATTTTCCTATTCAAAATAAATAAAGTAATCAACAGTACACTTAAATATAATGGTTTTTTTGATAATTTAACTTACTATGTCCTTCCAAATGCCTGGTCTTTGATTATGGTAAAGTTTAGCATACAATGAAATATCAACAACATTTTCATGTTGTAGTTGCTTACCAATAGTTGTTAAGCAACAAAATATTGCAGCTTCTGTTCCACCAAATCTATAATAAAATGATATTTAAATAAGCAAGTTAATATTTTTAGAGTTGAATTAATAATTACGGTTTTATAGTAAATATTTTAAATTTCAAAACTTCATAAAATTAAAAATTACGAGCTTGATTTGTAAAAAAAAATGGATCTTTAAACAATAAAGATTAACATTATATTTTTATTTTTATTTAAAGCTTATTGATTTCAAGATTCATTGAACGTTAATCAGTTAGGTATATATTAATTGAATAATTTACTGCAGCATAAATCATTTTATGACACTTTATATTATAGCATGCCTTATTTACACACTAATATACAATTACATTTAATTTGTATAACTATGTTTTAGAATAATATGAGAAGTAATTTTATGAATGTTATAAATTTGTATGCTACTTTATAAACTATCAAACAACTAAAAAAATAAAATATGATCATGTATCTAAATTTTTTATGGTATTCTTAATTATTATAATTTTATATATAATACTTTTTTTTTATAATACTTACTTATCTACTACAACAATAGGACCATTTTGGTATTCTAAATGCCACATTTGTACGATTTCTAATAATTTAATCAATGAAGATAATTCCCTCACAGAATATTTACTGTGAATTAGTCTAACTGGAAGCATAAAATCATCTTGTACAGATTGAATGATAAGATCTCTTGTTTCATAATCGTCTCCTATTTTGTCTTCTTGAACACTTTTAACTTTGAAATTGTCACTATCTAATGTTGTATCAGAGTCCACAGGCCAAAATTTAATAAGTGAATCCTATAGTATAACAAAAATGTATATTTTAGTTAGTTTTAAATTATTAAAGTAAATAAAACAAACCGTGTCTTCACTCATGTCAGTTAATATTACTACAGTCTGTGCATTGTGGTCCCAGAGCATTTGCCAAAAATCTAAAACTGTATTTTCTAGAGGATGCTGTGTAACAATAAATTCTCCTAGTCGCTTAAATCCTGAAAATGTATGGTAAAATATTTAAGTAGTACAATCATATATCAGAAACATTTGTCACTATCATAACTTAAGTTAAAATAATATTTTTTTTTTGCATTTGGGTGTATTGACCATTAGTAGGCCCAAAAGCCTATACTCTGTTCCAAAAGAGAACGGTCACTTTTTGCGCAAACAACTGACGGCTGCGGCATTGCAAAGGCCAAAATTCTCCTCCCCCTTTCTAGCCAGCAATCGTCAACGTCTTCGAGAAACGTCTGCTAGCAAGGTGGGGAATGTTGGGCCTTTGCACTGCTGTAGCCGTAAGTTGTATGCTCGAAAAGTGACCTTTCTCTTTTGGAACAGAGTATAGATAGGTTGACAATTTAGAATTTTGTTTTTGGGCACCTGTAAGTTTCTGCCAAACCCAGTTTGGAGGATGATCTCTATCCCTAGACTATGGAAGAAAACCACTTAGTTCCATACCACCCATACATAATATAATTATAGTTTGAATCGTAAAAAAATGGATTAAATAAATTATAATTAATGTCTAGAATAAAAAGTTTAAATCACAAAAATAATCTAAAAATTCTACCAACTTCCAATAATTATAATTTATTACTTAAAAGTTATAGTAAAAGTGAAATGTACAAAACGCTCAAGAGATGGCGTTTAAACAATTTTTTTTTTAGCTCATGGATTTTAATTTTTATTTAATTTATAGTTTATATATATAAAATATAAAACTAATAAATTGCAAACTCTAAATACTTTTGTGAGTTTATTATGATTTAAGTCAACTAGTCAACTTACCTAATTAAAATCTAAGTCATCAGATTCATTCATTTTTTAATTATTTTAGTGGAATAATAGTTACCAATTATCCAAGATGCATTGATGTAATCACTTCCTTCAATTCCAGGTTTTGGTGTTAAGTGCACTCGAGAATTTTCTACAGGAACAAATTCTTGAGATCTATTTTTATTTCGATTAAAGGGTTTATTTGCTGAAACTAAGAAATAGTCTGGTGGGACAAATGATGTTATCATCTGTAAGATAATTAAAAAATATTCATTAAAAATAATTTTTTTCTAAAATATTTGTTGTTATTCAAACCTTATAATGTTTTTCAAAATCTGAGGCAAATGATGCAATTTTACAATCGGCTATGTCTGTTTGAAGATAACTTGTTAGGGTTTTTCTATTAATACTAGAATACATGCAATTTATTGCTTCTAATAAAGCGTCATGGATAAATATATATTGTTCTTCCGTTTGAACTAAAAAATTCCTTTGCTGTCTAATGTGCTTTAAGAAATCAAATATATTCACTTCTTTTTCACTTTTAATTTGCTTAAGCATAGTATCTAAGACAATATATGTACCAGTTCTACCAACACCAGCACTACAAAATAAATTTAATTATCATCATTCATCAGAGTTTTAACATGAAATTAAATTTTAAAAATATAAATTCATTAACATACCTGCAATGAACAACAATAGGACCAGCATCAGCTGGATTAGCACCAGCTGATTTATTCACAAAACTTAAGATCGGCAAAGGATGATCTGGCGTACCATGATCAGGCCAATTAGTATAATGATATTGATATATAGTTCTACCTAATGGCACGTTTTTTTTCTTTTTAGCCTAAAATATATAATTTTTTAAAAAATATCTTTTATTTTGAAAATATATTATATAATAATATTACTCGTGTATGATGCACTTGAAATGTACGGACAGTATACATAGCCATAAGTTCTTCTTTTAATAGTTTAACCTGAATAAAACCATATGTTTCTATACCTTCATTTGGCCAATATAAGTCGCACTTCCTCTATTTAAAGAAACAAATGGTAAGTCTACTTAACATTTTTATACCTTTTTTACATTAAAATATTCTGTTTAATATGATGCAATCTTAAGTCTAAAATGTATTATAAAAATCTTTACTATTACAGTATGACACAATAAAGAATTTATTGACAATATGTTAATGAAAACAAATAGAATAATTTTTTTGCTAATTTTGAATTTCATATTTTTAGACTTTAAATTGCATAATATTAATCAGAATATTTTAATGAAAATCTTGATGGAATCAGAACCAATATTTGATTACTTATAACTAGAGGTCAAAATAATATTCTCTTAAAATAGCCAAAATAAAATGCTAATATTCTCTTAAAAAGTTGAAAATATTCTTCCAATATTCTTAAAAAATCATAATAAAATATGCGACAAATATGCTTTTATATAAATATATTCTATTAAATTAAGTATAGGTATGCCTTTATATGCGGAAGAATAAAGTACATACATAATACAATAAAATACTAATATAAATAGGTATATAGGTAAGTGAAAAATAATACCGCTTAAAAAGGAAACTTTAACTTATATAGGTAATATTTGATTTATTTAATAAAATTAGATTAATAAGGCATTTTTTTTAAAAATTAATACAATTTTTCATCGTTGTCTACATACTATAAAATTAGTATATGAGTTATAATTATCATATATAAGTTGGTAAATAAATATATAATATGAATATATATATATTACTATTATCGGGCAATCGTTTATATTATTTAAATTAATTGATATATTCAGATATTCTTTAACATTTTTTATTATACAAAATATTCTTTTATCTTGAAACATTCTCAAATATGCAAAAGACTTTTTCTATTAATTTACGTGTTTTGTGATTTATAAAAAGATTTCAAACCCTTGTATGACTGCATAGATTCCACAACATACAAATTAAGTTTTTTATTTTGCTTGTTCATTGTTTTATTGTTAAGAAGACCTCATACCAGTATTTAATATCTGTCTTACACACGTCTCTCACACATAAACTATAAATAAACTGTAATATGAATCTGTCATGAAGATTTGTATTTGTTAAGTAACACATGTGTATGATGTCCTCTTATTCCTAATTACTATTTTTGTGATAAGACTTAGGACAGAGGACTAATAGTCATAAAAAGTTACCAAATATACATTTTAAAAATTAAATTAAATGCCGGCAATACGACATCACATTGTAAACAATTTAACAATCATCTATCTATTAATAAAATGAATATACGGTGATTTTCAAGCGCTTTTAGGAAAATTGCCCACCGACAGTTAAAAACCATGTAAACCATACAAAAATCAATGTATGTTTTGGTTGTATTCATTAAAATAAAAACATCAGTGGAATAAAAAATTATAAAATTATTAATTAGGTAAGTTCAAATAATATTACTTCTCCTAAAGTATAAATTTGAAGAAATATGCTAAAAATAAAAACTCAAAATATGCATTTATATGCAAAATTTCATTTAAAAACTAGTTTTTTGAAAGCATGAAACATATTTGTTTTGTACTTGCTATTTTTGTGACTGTGCATAACAAATATGCAAATGCTACAAGTCCTCTGCCCTATGATAACTTCGAGGATAACTTTTAGTATTTTTGCGTCGTGATGATAATTGACTTACACTCTTAATCGTCGAGGAGAACGATCAATGATAAAACTAAATTTAGAGAAATTAAGAAAACTAATAAACTTTAGAATATAGTAAGTAGTTAGGTAGTAGGTTCTACGTACATCACTTGCACGGAAAATACTGTCAATCATAAACTCGTATTTATAAATACAATATTAATATTATCCAAAAAGAGCAAACAAGTGACCCAATCTTTGGGACATTTTTTGATACAAAATTAATATTAAAAAGGTGAGTAAATACCACTCTGATTGTACAGTAGGTGTCAAATGAGTCACTATAATAGACGTGTTAATTTTAAATAAAATAATTGGATGTAAAAAAAGTAAAGAAAAACCATAGACAATGTACTTATGTCCAAGCACACCAAATAACAAATTCTGACTTCCAAAATATACTAAAAAAAAAGCAACCAATTTGTAATCATATGTAACAAACAATTCAAAATATGTAATCCTAGTTTCATATAAGTACAATTTATACCTATATGCAATCAGTATATATACATTTTATGATATTTATTGAAATTTAACACAGAAAACTATCTTGTTTATTATAAAATATAAATTATCTTTTTTTAGAGTATCTTTGACATTGTTTAAAAAGCAGTCAAAATCAAATCTAGTAACAAAATCTGTTTAAGTTGTAAAATATAAATATTTTATGTATACAAATAATGTATGTTAAATGCAAAATAGAAAAAGGGTATTTTATTGTAGAATATATTTCTCAATGTAAATTGACAATAAAGAAATTATTTTTATCACACATTCTATACAATAATCAAAATCTAGCAGATTGTCTGATGTAAGAGATAATTTTATGTTATGTATTTTTAGTTGTAGATTTTAATTTTAATATTAATACATTTGTTATTCTACAAGTAGTTTTAATTATTAAGAAAATCTTTATGAAAAAATACGTAACAAAAATGTACTTAATTATTTAATTTATTGTATTATGAATTTTGGGTGCTAGGCTGACAAACTTAAATTGTTAAACTAAATAATTACATAATATCTTTAAAAAGTATAAATTAAATTTAAGGGTTATTAAAAAGAACCAAACTTAAAACGATCTCTATCACAATATTTTAAGTTAAATATTGGAAGAAAACGCTCTTATAAAATACAGCAAAAATGTGTAAAATAATAAATTCAATTTTAAAATTAAAACAATTCAAAAATAAAAATTGTATTTATACTGATTCTTAAAATATATTACCCGGCCACGTTCCACTAAATTTGTTATCATCACAATAACATAAACATGTTGTTCCCACATCATTTGCCAAAAATCAATAATTGTTGATGGTAAAGGTCCTTGTGTACCAATGTATGCATTAGCTTTTTCAAAACCATCAATATAGTTAGCATTTATATAATCAGAATGACTTCCTGGTATATTATTTATGTGGAGCTTGACTCTGCTATGATCGTCTGTAAATTAAAATTTTATCATGGAAGTCATTGATGATAGTTTCAAGCAAAAAATAAACATAAGTTAGTTAAATTAGTTAAATTTTGTATTAATTGTTTTTAATTAAAACCTATTTTTCAAATTATCATGGATAATGCAACAATGGCCAAATTTTAATATCAACAAAAAAACAACACTCTACGGTGTGATAAAATAGTATAAGTTACAAACAGAACAATAGAAGCCCCACTTAGAAGTTAGTAATGTTTTCTTTCAAAGAAACATTATGTATAGTAATATTTTAAATTATATTTATTTCTTTACCTTTTCCATATTTAGTGCATCACTTTCAAATCTTTTTAATTCAGCTTTTTATTGTTTATAAAGTAACTATATATGTTTTATTTGGCCTCATCATTTATTAATTAATTTAAAATTATTTGGTTATCAATTGTAAAAAATAAATTAGTAAATTTTTTATCAACAATTTTGGCCAGCAACCAGTCGGAGGCTCAAGGTCATCCATTTATTTAGTACAGGAAAATAGAGTATCATACCCCTAATATTAACTACAATGCATATTGTCAAATTAGCCAACAGATTCTGAATAATTTTAAAAAACTATTTTAATAGTGACCATTGACATTTTTTTTTTTTTATAATTTGTATCGTCAACACTTTTACAGCTCTAGACGTACTATTACGTTAATATATTTTATAATAATATTTATTATTGCTGGTTATCATTATTTTAAACTTAGATAATTAGATCATATAGATCTTAAAATTAAAATTAAACATTTTATTTTACGTAACATACACAGATTGCAGTGAAAAATTGTTTAAAGGGTTAGTTGATCCAAATTACTGGAGTAGATAACCAAGTAGATAAAACAAGGTTCACTTATTACTAATTAATGAATGCACTAAAGCTAGTAGTGAAGTGTTTAAAATTAAAATCATGTTTAAAATTTGGTATCATTTGTGATTATCACTAAGATAAATTAATAAGATTTATCTAACATCTCAAATAAATAAAGAAATACTAACATAATTAGATTATGGTGTCACTATATTATATAAAAGGGTAACAGAAATGTATGTGTTAATAACTAAAAAATTAAACATCTTCAGGATGTCAACATTATCCGTAACATAATTTATTATATATTATATCAGATTATATGAACTTAGAGTGTTTATTTGGAATTTTAACAAAAATTAATATAAAAGAGTGACATATGTAAAAGAACACTAAACTATATCAGTTTACATTCTTAAATAGACTACAATATTATAATGAAATACTTGGAATGAAGTATGGAACTATAAAATATGTTTAATTATTTTATCTGGCTATATTACAAATTTCTGTATACCAATGAGTCTAGAATTAATTTGTTGGTTTATCATCTTAGACCAATTGTGCTGTTATCAGATACTCTTAGGGAATTTCTTAGATTATAATTACAAAATATGAGTGGATTAGAGTAGCATGATTAATTATAACTTATTTGCTTACATGGAACTATGTTGAGGTATCGGTTTTTTGATTTATTTTCTGGTAGTTGTGATGATTCAGTTGAAAAATCAAAATTCATTGACTCTTCTTGAATGATTTCATATTCTTTGCTAAAACCAATATCTCCATCAACATGCAAATTAGCTACATGCTTAGCAAAACCATCCACTGTCACAACATGAGATTCTTGTTTATGCTTCCACCAATCAGAATTTGGCAATGTTGGTACAGTATGTGACACAAATGGTGGATCCTCCAGATAATAATAAGCAGCATGAAAGTATACCCTACACACAGGATGGCATCTATAGTACAAAACATTTATTTTATGTGTTACATGTAAAGCATCACACATATTGTTAGCTATGGCGATAAAAAGATTTAATTTAAAAATATTATATTATATTAATGTTTATAAACAAAAATGAATACTTACTGCCAAAATAAAACAACAGCTACAATGAATAGTAATCCCAATACGCAACATAAACCAATCAAAAGGGATTTTGTATTTTCAATTAAATTATGATTATTTTTCGAAGTATTATCATTATCACAATCTTTATGTAAGTAGACAGAACGAGGTTCTGAAGCTTCACCTTCAATTAAATGATTGCCTAGGAAACTATTTGTCGCTCCATTTATTTTTAATTCATACATGGTATTGTCTGTTAAGTTTTGAACAATGTACTGATTATGCTAGAAAACAATAATAATGTCACAATTAATTAAATCAAGTATTACGTTACGACAATATTTTAAAACCTATAATTTACATACATTTGAATTGATACTATCTTTTGGTAATGAAATGTTGAAATTCTTAACAATATCAGAAGTATCAGAAACATATATAATATATTCATCCACTGATCTATAAAATAGTTGAGGTGTAGTCCATTGTAAGAAAATAGATGTACCATTAGTTCCTGGTACACATGTAGCATTTGTAATAATTGGTGGACCTGGACCATCAACATCAGTATATTGAATTATTGTATCTGAAGATTCACTTTTTATATATTGTTCGCATTTGGCTACAATGTGTACTTGGTACTCAGTGTAAGGTACTAGAAATTTAAAAATGTAAATCGATAAAAATATTTCCAAATACATATAATTCAGATTAGACATTTTGTTTTAATAACAAATAATAATAGAAATAGGTAACTATTTACAATAAGAAAATGTATAATCTAAAATTTGTTCTAGTTCCACGATAACATTAATATTTGTATTACCCAGTTAGATGGGTACATAATAGATAATATTATATGATAAGATTTTTATAGCAAAACAGGAGATATAAACTATTATTAATTTCAAATATTTGGAAATATAAAAGTTAGTTTTGGTAATTGAACTTGAATTAAATAAAAAATAGACTTACAATGTTTGGTTTTATTGTATACTCAAAGTCAACAAACAAACAATTAACTTTATAATAAATTTAATATTTTCAGAATATTATCAAATATATTCTAGAAAATAATCATAAAAATAAATAAATTGAATTAAAAGATGATAATATGCCAAAGCTTATCGTCAACTTGGAATTAATGTGGTTAATAATAAACAAGTACCTACTAGGTAAGGGACTATTATCATAAATGAAAAGATTGTAATAGTAATGAATAAGGTCCAGATTTAAGGCAAATGTATTTTTTTTTTTTTTTTTTGATAATGATAGAAAAATAATTCTTATATAAAAATGTTTTATTTAATTTCTAAACTAACGAACTTAATTTCAGTTTTTTGTTTTTTATATTGTGTATTAAAATATAAATTTATCACAATAGTATTAACCGTACAAATCAATAAAACCTCAAAGAGGATTTCAAATGTGTGAGTGCCTAAAAGACATTTTGAATTTTGATTGATACAAATTAATCTGGTAAGAATTTTGTCTGACACAATTACAAAACTAGAAACATGAGGTTTTTAAGATATTAAAATATTCTGTGTTTATTGTATAATTTTTTGATTGCCTTATTGAAATAATACATAAAATGGTTTTTTTTGCCTTTTTTTCACATTTTAAGTGCTTTTTTTTATTTTTTATATTGCATTAAAATCTAAACACTAGGAATAAGAGTCAAGAATTATAGTTTTATATAATATTTTATGTAAGGTGTAATGTACTTAAAAAAATAAAATTGTTTTAATGGAAAAGATAACACAAACATAAAGTTTCTTAAATACATTTAATTTAAAAAAGAGTGATATATTTTAATTATATGGTTTATTGTTTATTTATTAATTAAATGGAATTACTAAAATACTGTTATAATTAATTAACAAAAATATTACTTATTGTGTTTTAATCATTAGTGGGTGGGTACTTAAAATTACAAAGTCCTGTATTGATTTCACGGTTGTGATATAACAAGTAAATACTAATAATAGGTACAATCAAATATGATCAGTTCAATTTTTTTATTATTGAAAAAAGCTACAACAAACATTCCATATTTAGAGTAACAAAAATAATTATGAATAAAATAAAGATATTTTAAGTAAAATTACTAAGAAAAAATATATATTACTGATAAAATATAGCTATAAATAATTAAATACATTATTATTTCTTTATCTTGAATTGCAATGGATCCCTAAATTTTTTGGTTCATGATTTTCTTAATATTAAAATTTAATTACCACGCATCTTAACTGTAAGAGATTGCTCTATAAAATGTGGGAGTTATCGGTTCTACATACTGATTCATATGTAAGTCAATATATATGATAAGAATTATCAGATTTTAAACTGTGATCACTATACAATGATCTGTATATTTTAATAATGAACTAAACGTGGGATCTATTGGTTTCAAAATTACATTTATAACTTATAAGGATTTATTTTGTGTCATACTTTTTTTTAAGTCTGAATAATCTGAAAAGTTTTGTGCTATTTTTTTACTTATATAGGTTGTCCTTCAAATACATCATATTTGATTTCCCTCACAATTTTTAGAAATATCACAAAAAGATCAGTAAAAAAATATAGAAACAATTAAGCTAATAACATAATATTTTAAACGCAAATAAAAGAGAATATTTTACCCATGTGTTTTTAATGTTTTAAAATGTCAGTAAGAAGTACTTATTAAGAACCTTATATTAAATTATCAATTCCTAATAAAAAGAATTAAAAATGATCTCAAATATAAACTAAGCAAATTAGAACATTTCAAGTAGATACCTACAAAATGTTAAAAATTATAATTAATATTTTAAGATTTAATTTTATATATATACTGATAGGTAATATAAGTAATAATGGAATGTTTCAAAATTTCTAATATAATTTAAATTACAAATTAAATATCTAAAATTGTTTAAAAAAGAATCATTACATTTAATTTACACTACAAACAATTATACAAAATTGTGACTATACTTTTGATACTTTTTAACTGTTAAAGGAAAATACCTTATTTGGTATTTCATTTTTAAGCCAAGAACCAAATACTATCAAAAAAGTTGAACTTTTCATAATATGTTTATAAACAAATTAAATATTTCCAAAATATTTTTGAAAATTATATAATTTCTAAAAAATGTTGATATAATTTTTCAGTCCTTATTCTTTTAAATTACAACAACAAATTGATTTGGTTTAAAATTTACATTACATAAATATCCTTGAAATATTTTCCCCTTATATTTTTCAGATATATTATGATACCAGAAACCAGCATCAATGTTGAAGTTGGAGCAATATTTTAGTTCTAAAACTTAATTTTAAAAAAACCCATTGAAAAACCAAAACATATTTCTTTCTCCAATAAATTAGAATTTATAATAAAATAAATATACCAATAAATGTTTACCTATTAATATCAAAATGTATAAAATTCAATGCCACAGTAAAAATGGCAATGCTTTTATGAGCATTAATAAATTACAGTTTAAAATAAACATTTATCCAGTTGAAACCATTAAATAATTAATATCCACTACATTTTATACACTTATGTTTAAAGTAATATTATATAATAAGATTTTATCAATAAAAAACAGTTGAAATGTGTTCTATAAACTATGAAGTAGAAAGAAAAATGTAAATTAAATATAGCCAATCTATTCAACAAAATATATTATGACATTTAGAACTTATATTATCATAAAAGGTACTTTTTGTTATACCTTTTATAAATTTGTTATTTGTTTATTACTTTTAATACATTTATTCAAACATTTTCAAGATTTAGTTAAAAATAGGTTGTTGCTTACACTTCTCAATTTATTGAACTTTTACTAAAGTCTAAAAACAATTAGAAACTAAAAATATGTACAATTTTAGGTTGAATATTAGATCATTTACAAATATATTCTGGTATTGGATATTGTATAAAACATTTTAAAATATTAGTCTGGCATAACAAAAAAATATATATCAAAACAGATTTTTAATTATTGATTCCAACATTAGGATGACTTAAATTTATCTTTTGATATGTGATGTTACAATACAATCACCTGTAACTTTAAACAATTGTTGATTTTAATACAATTTTTATTTTTACTTTATTATATATATTATTGTTTTTATCCTCTTTTTTTCAAAATTCATTCAAACGAAAAGTATCAATATAAGTAATGAGTAATAACGATGGTAGTAAATTAATGTAAAAAAAATTTAATTGGCTAATAATTAATAAATATTTATATAAAAATAGGGATATACTTATTTTTATATAAGCAAAAAATTATGCTATTCAATATGATGTCCCAGTTTGATAATTTCAAAATCTGGCAACCCTAGATTAAGGTAATTTTATGTCTAACCGGAGTACAAAAATGAATAAAAGATGTTTCGGAACTGAATATTATAAAATGTCGAGGACTTATCCATATTCTACAAGTAGTAAGTTTACCTCAGGGGATCCCAACCTTTTTAGTTGTGCAGACCACCAATTTTGTAAAAAAAATCTTTAAGGCCCACTAATAGCACACCTATATACATTATACGTATGCATCTAATATATACTTACGTAAGTTATTAGAAATAAAAGAATTAAAAACTGCTGGTTTACCTAACTAATTGGATTTTAGAAGACTAAAAATAAACATTTTCCATTATAAAAAAAACTAATAAGAATAGTGTGTTTAGAATATTTTAAAATAGTTATATACTTACTGAGATTTGCAATTGTAAATATGTATGTATTTGCCAATAATTTTACAAATGTGTTATTGTCATGTGAATAAAAAAGATTGTAATTGGTTATTCCATCCTCACCATCTATTGGTGCGAGCCATGTTATTGTTATTGATCGACTGGTTACATTAGAAACAGTTAAATTCTGTGGTTTGCTTTTGGTTACTGTAACAATAAAATATTTAAACAATTACAGTTTAAATATAAACTATTCCATTAATATTCAAACATTAAATTGTAAATTTAAAAAATACAAATAGAACATTTTACAATCAATTTTGTAAGCCTTGTAAATGAAGTTGACAGCATTATATTTGATAAAATCATAGTTAGGATTTAAAACTAATTATAAAAGAAAACCAAAAGTAAACTTTATTAAGAAAAAAAAATATTATTAAGTGTATTAGTGTATCAATAATACACATAATATCATACAATAATAATAGCTAGGTAATAACTTGTTATTTTTGAATAAAATAATTTTCTTATTACCTAATTCAAAATAGTTTATAGATAATAGACCTAAATTTGATTCAACACCTATCTATTATTTTAGATTAGATATAAATTCATAATCAAATAATTACATTTTGAATGTGAAATCTATCATTTGTACCGAGATTTGTACCTATTAAATAATTTAAAATTGAATCATACAAACCTAATCAAAATTTTAAAACTTGAATATCTAGTTGGTACCTAAATACCTACTTATTCAAACTCTTACTGGTCTACCAATGACCATAGATGCAAGTTATGCTAATGAAAATTAGGTCTACATTTAGATTTTGAAGAAGTATTGAAGTAATATGTTATTGAACAATTTTTATTTTATTTTTAAATTAGGTATTTAGATAATACAAATATGCTTTACAAGGGGCAGTATTCATATTAATAGTACAAAACGATTATAAAAATTAATGTATCAAGTATTATTATGTAAGTATATTATTATATATTAATATCTATATTATATTTTTGTTAAAAATTAGCTAGATAACTTTTCTTATGTAAGTTATGGATAGGTTTTCAAGATAGAGGTTTTTATTGGTTTATGTCATGTTGGTACAACAATGATTTAGTGACTTTCTCAATAAATAAATCTAATTTTAGATATAATATTACAATGTATGGTTGAAGTGTGGCACTAATGAGATATACTGTAATGACACTTCTAGTTAACCAAAATAAATAGTAAGGATTTGTTTAAATAAGTAGAAATAGTCTAAAAGGATCCATGAAACACAACTTAAAGATGTAGCTTGCAGTAAGATGCTTATATGAAAATGTTTTATTATGTTTTTAGTTAGGTAAACAATTTAATATAGATAACAATTAATTACCTATGAGGATTTTAGTTGTATAAATGAGTAAATAAAAACATATGATATTCCAGTAAAACATATAAATAAATCAGTTGTTTAGTTAGACTTTTGACGATTATTTAGATCCAGTATATTTTAATACAATGCCAAATGAATAAAAAAACAAAATTTATAAAAAATTCTATCTGAAAATATAAATATTAAAGGATTAGTATATAAATGATTATTTTTGGAACTACCTAGATAATTAAGTGTATTTATCTAATGTTCACCAACATTTTAAATTTATCTTTGTAAAACAATGTTTATTTTTTTTTTTAATCTAATAATATTATTACAATAACACACTTTTGTTAAAATAAAACCTACAATTATATACTACCTATATTTTATTTTTTAATATTATTCTCTAACTCTATCACAAGCAGTGGCATAGACCATGGGGGGATGTGGGGGTCAGACCCCCTCCCCCATTGGCTTTTTATTACCTTAGTAAAAAGTTTTGAGAGGGGAATTTTCCAATTTTTCCCTCCCATTAGCTATGTCGTTTTTGTTTTTGATCCCCCCCTATCAGAAATCATGTCTACGCCACTGATTACAAGCAATATCGTAAATGAGTTGGATAAATTAATTTATTAATGAATGTATTGAATATGTTAAGTATGTCTTATGTGTAATTATGTGTCAATTGGAAACATCAATTTACTTCAGTATATCATTATGACTATGCACAAATACTTTTTTTCATCACATTGTATGGATAATTTTATAGTTTAAACTTATTAGGCAATAGCCGTTTTTAAATAAATACAACTAAATTTATAGAAACTATAATATGTGCTAAATGTGACTTAGGGCCGTTCTTACGACGTCCGGTTAAATTAACCGACACTTAACCGGAAGAATTCTGCCGGTAATAAAATCTGTTATCAGTCGGTTAGCGTTAACCGACACTTTACCGGACATTGTAAGAATGGCCCTTAGTAATAATACTAATGTTTAAGAACATAAAATAAAAACAATAGATATGTATAATATTATTTTTGCTAAATATTTTAAAAGATTGATCCTGGTATAAACGTTCCTAGGTACCTATTATATTATTTAGAATAGCAAGAACATTTTTTTTAGTAACAATGTGCCCCATATAAGCATATGGGCTTGTACTTGTCTATTGATACAGGAGGTCCCTAATATTAGAATAGGTAATCACTAATCACTATCTTAAGGTACCCTTGTTACAGTTTACTACTTGAACTGATACAGCAGACCTCATCAAATGTACGCATAAATATGATAAAAAAAATATAAGGGCATACTCAGTGCTCGACTTGGGGGGAGAGGGGTACACAAGAGGACGAAGTACACCAACTAATTTTTCAGAAATTTTAGCTACCCTTAATATTATTTATAAGGGAAGGGCAGGGGACGCTTCTTCATTCTGAATTTTTAAGAAAATGTGGGAGAGACCATCATAATTTGTCTTATGAATTATTTCATTACTGCAGATCTATAAAATAGTTAATATTACCTAATTATTACTAAACCATTAGTTAATTTACTTTTATTATTCGTTTGCATTTGTTATTATTTATAACTATAATATATATTAGGTGCAGTTATTACCTAGGTACCTATGTCTTATTTTTTGAGTTGATTATTCATAAATATTTTTTATAATATTTAAAAAGGTTTAAAAGTTATAAGGGAATGTGGGGGCATAGCCCAAGTTTACAAAGTGATGGGGACCTCTTTTTTTAAAAGTAAACAGTGCCCTTACTTTAATTTTGCCAAGTCGAGCACTGGGCATACTAAAAGAGCACAGTCAGAGAAAAGTGCTCAAAATAGGAGTGTATGGAATTAGGTACTTGGAAAAATCAATAAATTGAGCCAGTGTCGGTTAGTAATCTGCAAACGGACAAAACGTATAAACCGTGTGTGGAGCTGTCAGATGCGGACGTTACGGCGCACCCTGTAAACTATAGGGGGTAGGTAGGACGGGCGACTGTCAGTCGGGACCCTCAGTGATTATAATAAAGACGACAGAAACGAGACACCTCTTAACTGCAGATCGAGGACTTACCCTGTGAATCACAGTTGCTTTTGTTTTGGGCGGCTGCGCGTCCGACGCAAACGTACAGGCAATTGGGACACGAGAACAAGACGAAGCCCAGACACCATGTTGCTATCCACATCTCCCGGACGGTGTGTGTGTACGATATGTGCGGGCGTTCACGACGCGGCGTGGCGTCGTACCGTCACGATGGCACCGTCGTTGTTGCACTGCCTTTCTGATTTCGGTAACGGTGGCGCGTTCATCGCATCCGCCGATTAGCGACCGACTGACGGCGCGGCGCGGGCGAGCACTTCATTATTCCTATTGCAGTAGTCGTACGGCACACGACGCGGTCCGCGCAGCGCAAGCGACGACGACGACGACGACGGACCGGCAATATGATGCATCAAGGAAACCGGGCGACGCGCGCTTATAATTATTACAATTTACTATTACTGCCGCTGTTGTTTACGATTTACGGCCGTGCAGTCGTAATCGCTGGCGAGCGGAGAAGTGTATAATCATAGACAAATATTAAAACATTGAATTGTTTATAATATTATAATATTTATAAATTATAATATTATTAAAGTTGTGAATACCGTCGTACACCGCCGCACTGCCGCAGTGTTTACGACGATAGCTTATCAGTTTATCAAGTATCAACGCCATCGCCGACGATGCCGCGGATCGAGGGAACTGCGCCGGCGCGGCGGGGGCAACGGTGGTTTTACACGATCGCACGCACGCGCACGAGAAATGGCAATATATATATATATCATAATATTATTTTAAGGTTGAACGAATTTCAGCCATGGTTGAGCTCATTCACAGGACGGGACGCATAATTTGCAAAAGCGGGAACACTTGGACTCGGACCGCCTTTCTTTCTTTTCTTTTTTTTCATTTCTATGAACACGGGCGTTGAACAGTGTGACCAGAACAGGCTCACTACGCAAGGTCGATGTGTATACATAGTAGGCTTCGATTGTTTCGAGTGTTCCTCCTCTTCGCCTTTGAGTAGGCCATGTATTATGCATGTTGTTCAATTCACGAACGATACCGGTTTTTTTTTTGTATAATATCAGATTCGTAAAAGTATGACGGAATTATTTTAATATTTAAAGCTTGAATTTAGAAATGAGAAAAATACCAATCTAGTAGGTACATTTAACATTTTTTAAGTTGTAATTTAAAAATATTATATAATATACCTACTAATAATTGTATGCAGTTAAAAATCCATTCTAAATCTTTCTACAATACTACATTATTACACCAGTACGGCAGTACATGAGTTCATCACTAATGTTAAGTATAAACTTGTTAAGACTTAAATCTAATAAAAATAATTCACGTCTGTTATAGAAATTAATTATTATAGACTATTATCTATAGGCAACCTACAGGTACTAAAATATGTTATAAAATCTTTAAATTACTTAAAAATTAGGGTTCTAAATTCTAGTGTATTACGTAGCAACTATATAATCATAATGCTATTACCACTAGGTATGTGTGAAGATATCAAGTTACACAGTTCAAATATTTTTTTCATGCATATAGCTTTCATAGTTTCAAAATATAAATATATTACATAGTAGTACCTATATTATAAATTAAGAATATTATACAGTTTAATAAATGTCTCTATATCATCTGGTAATTTGGATACGTGAGCGATTGCAGCGAAGATCGCGAACGTTGGCACATAGACCATGACGCGGGTGCAATGCACTGGCAAAGGGACTGCATTTGAATTAAAAATATATTTTTCAAGCACTTAAGTTCATAAGCTAAAGTATCTTAACGTGATTAATGATTAAAAAGTAAGCACACTCATAATTTAGTTTCTAAGTGAGTTATGAGCATTTACGCTATATTACCCATACGTAGGTATACATACGAAAAACTTGCTAAAAAACTATCGTAAAAACCCATACCACATGGCACATACATACATAATTTTCTTACCACCAAGTTTCATAATATTTCGATACACTAAAGTTTTTAAATACTAACGAAGCTAAACGTGATCCTGATGAGCGTAAGTGTGATATGTTACGCACTTATATTGAGAACAACCTTAGGAACCTGTCCCTCAGTGGAGTAAAAGGGAGGAGGCCCCCTAGGCCAGAGCCCATAGTGAAATTGCAGGTTCAGTTAAAGCATTGCTTGTATAATGTATATCTACACTGTTTGCAGTTTCTGAGGAATCAACAAGGAAATGTTAGATTGTCAGGAATTACTTTGATGACTTTGATGTTAAATTCATAGTAAGTTAACACTAAAATATACCTATATATACATATTATATTATATAATATATATGTATATGAAACTTTCAATATTTTTTAAAAAAGAATTAAAAAATTAATTATACATAATTATTATAAAATAAAATTGTGCAATTTTTATTAGTATTGTATATGTCATAATTATAACCACCCAGCTCTCAAAAAAATGTAAAGTTATGGCTATGTTAGTCGTGCTATGCTTGACTATAGTGACAAATTGGCTCATAGTGAAAATAATTCCTAAATACGCCACTGCTATCCCTATACAACCTTTTGGTAATTGTTAATTCAATGAAAACAATTTTAATGATTGGGTATATAGTTCGTGAGAATAACTGAATATATTATATATTGCTATAAAACGCCAACTGGAAATAAGAGTTGCCGATACTCTAGGGGGTGTCACCCCCATAGGCGTAACTAAGGGGAGGCTGGAGGCTTTATTTTAGCCTCCACTGTCATAATTTCACTTCCACCAACAGCAGCTAAATTTACAAATTTTAATTTAAAATATAATTTGGTTTTTTTATATAAAAAATGTCGTGTAGTCTTTACTACATACTACACAGAAGTTGTCAATAAAGTTAACACAAAAATAGTCTTTACCACCCAAAATAATAGACTCAGGATTTTATTTTTGTAACATTCATAATATATTATATAAATGGTGATACGTTTAACGACTAACGGTTGATTGGACGACGATCGCTAAGCCCGCCTGCTTATAGATTAGGTTAGGCTCTAAATGTATATAAAATGCTACATTTATCACTTTCTGTTCCAACAAGTTCCATATCTAGTAAAAGAACATTTTCAACAATGCATCGAATAGATACTTACATAATAGCAACTATATTCCAAATCAAATCAAGTTGTATATTAATTTCTGGTTAGGTGGCACTGCTGGGAGCCTTCCTATTAAAGTTATTATTTTATGTCTAATGTTCAACATACTTACTCATTATACCCTATAGTATAGATTGTAAATACCTATTCTTTTTAAAATAAAAAAAAAAAAAGTTGTATATTATATTATATTTATTGAAACATTTGTTTTTTTTTTAATTCCAATAGGTACTGAGCATTCAGTGAGCAGAGGCTTAAACTGTAATGACTAGTTTCCATTAGTCTACTATAGTCTACTAAATTATGTTACCCAAATCAATTCTTTAACTTTCAATAATATTATAAAAAATGAAAACCTTGAATTTCTAATTAACTAAAATAACATATTTTAATAATTTAATGTTTACCTCCTCATCCTACTTTTTAATGATAAGTATTAATAGTATTATACACACGCATTAATAATCAAATAAAATATTAATTTATTGATTTACATTTTCATTACATTTATAAACAATTAATGTAACGTGTTTGGGAAGTGTGGGGACAGAGCCCTCCACTTAATTTACTTATAATAAAATGTTATGGCTGAAGACCCCCCTCCTCCCCTAACTTAGGGTCTAATTACTCCCATGGTCACCCTCACGGCTCCCGCCCACTCCTGGAATCGCCACCCAAGCCAAATAGCTGACTTAAGTTAATTATTAAGTAACTTATTAAGTATTATTTCTTTGTTATTATTTATTTAGAGAAATATAGTCACAATTTTTGCTAATTTTTTTTTAAGTGTTCTAAAACTTTTCCTAATTTATTTGTGTTGTTCACAAACACATACCTATGATATAATAGCAGTTAGCACGGCTATCAATATACGATAAGATAATAGTATTCAGATATACATATTATCTTTAATCGCGGTTCCCACTAGTTACTATCATATATATTTTGTATTACATACGTACCTCAACAGTATTTGCCAGGCGAACACGATCATTACTGATTTAGTTACACATACCACTACACATAATAAATACCTACACATTATAATATTATCCAGTCGGTGTGTACCTGTACTATATTACTACATTTATATATCTACACTAAACGTTTAAAGTATTTCGGTGACTATGGCGTGAATAATATTATTTTATGTTTTCGGAACACACATTAATGTTATAATTATTTATGTCATGTTCTCGTTGACTATACTTTGGATTTTAAGCTTTGAAAATTTGTATAATATTTTATATAATAACACAGTATATTAAGTATATAACAGTATATAATCGATTAAAATCATCACTTTTTTTGTATGTAGGTAAATGTGAATATGGGGAACCCTATTGGTACCAAAATAATGTACTTCATCATTGTGTAGGTCACTGTAATGGATGTGTTAAATTTGTACTCAATGATAAATCACTGCGTTCTTAAAACGATTCTAAGCTTATCAGTCTATTTTAGTAATATTTATATAATTTTATATTACTATTCATCATTCAAAATTCTTTAGTTACAGGTTTTGTTTATAAATAGGCTATAATAGGTACTGGTTTTTGTAAACTATAATCAACGGTACAGTCATAAGCGCAACTAGGGGGAGGGGCTTAGAACCCCAAAACTTGTAATTTTTTTTTGTGTCTGTCATCACCTTTTAGGACAGAAAAACTGTAAAAGGGCTTGGATTTTCTTCAACAGTATCTATTCTGATAGGAAAGTGAATCTAGTTGGCACTTTGGGGGGGGCAAAAGTAAAAATTTTCCAGTAGTTTTCAAAAGCGCCGTAAAAAACAAAAGAAAAATTAAGTAAAAACAGGAATTTTTCCTCAAGAAAATTTTTTCGAGAAAATCGATTTTGGTTTTTGGTGTAACTTTAAAACAAATGACCGTAGATAAGTGAAATTTTCACTGGTTATTTATTTTTTCATTTTCTATACACGATAACATTTTCAAAATATTTTGGTTTATTTTGACCTGTTTAGGGACATTTTCAGATT